AGAAAAAAAGAGAGAGAGAGAGAAAGAAAGAAAAAGAAAGAAAGAAAGAAAGAAAGAAAGAAAGAAAGAAAGAAAGAAAGAAAGAAAAAGAAAGAAAAAGAATACACATCAAAATCTCAATTATGTATCATGTGCAAGAAAAACCTAAACACGCCAAAACCTTAATAGCATAGTAGTATTTCTCTGAGTCTTTGGGGCAATTGTTTTTCTTCATATCTTCATGTGTTTCTCATAGTAAAAATGATTCAATTTAAAAATCAGAGAAACAAAATATAAATTCTTCTAGATGATGACATTTCACAGCTAAAAATCTCAACAGGGGTGACTTTTCTCCCGTGGGATTCTACACTGCTTTAAAATGCTGAGAGTTTCAGTCTATTGAACCAGACATTTTGTCTCCTCCCTCCTCTCCTCCCGCCCATTTCTGTTCAGTCTGCTCCTTGAGGGCATCACTGGTCAGTTCAGCCCCACGCTGCTCCCACCTCGGCTCTGATACCCTCTCTCTGAATCAAATGCTTCTTTCACTCATCTGTTTCTTGGTAACTACCAAGCCCTTTCAAAGTCACTCAACAAACATTCACACAGCACCTCTTTTAACTGCGCTCTCTGCTACATACTGGGCATGTTCTACCTCAGGTCAGATGTAGAGTTCCTGACAGGAAACGCGGTGCTTCCCACTTCCTGGGCACCACCCAGGGCCAAGTAGACGGAGGGGAGAGCCAGTCAGTGGACACCACCGATGAAGTCCCCACACTCAGTCCTCCCAGTCCTGGAGGAGACATCCCTGGACCTCTCTCCTTCATAACTGCCTCTTCCTCCCTCCCCCAGCAGGCCGCAACCATCTCATCAAGGGAGGGGGGAGTCATTCCTAAGTGTGTCCCTGACCTCCAGTTTCCTATGCTCCATTCCATCTCCCCCACTCTACTGGAGTCATCTTTATAAAATGTAAATCTGCTTATATATTTAACGCCCCTCACCCCCACCCTCTTTCTCAACCAGTGTTCTTAAGGCGAATTCTAAACTCTATAATGTGCCTATGTTCCTGGTCCCTCCAAACCTCTCCAGCCTCAATAGTTACCCCTTTTCAGTGTATATGTTTATGTAATTACTCCTTGAGTTTGGGGGGAGCATTTGCTGTGTGTCAGGCACTGTGCTGGGTCCAGGGGATCCAGCCGTGCAGGAGACACACCCTGTAGGCATGGAGGTCAGTTTTCACTACAGCTGCCCTCTGTCCTGGCTGTGCAGCATGTGATACGTGCACAGCAGTACTGGCATCACCTAGGAGCAGAGGCTCAGACCCTTTCACAGGCCTACTGACCACAACTAGCACTGCAATGTGCAGGTGGTTTCTTATGCATGTCAAAGTCTGAGAAGCCCTGCTTCAGGTCTCTTGAAACTTCAGTGCTTGCTCTAACCACATGCCTTTCATCAGCCCTGGCTACTCTTTGCCCTTCCCTCTGCCTAACTCCCACCCTCCCTCAGTTTCTGCATGATTTCCTGTCTGCTAGGAAGACTTCCTTCCCTGCCCTCCTAAGTTAGGGTTCAGTGACCTCCTCCAAATGGTGTCACCATCAAAACACATACACACACACACACACACACACACACACACACACACACACACTTAGGAAGTAAGTATTTAAAAAAAGGAGGGGGGCACCTGGGTGGCTCAGTTCATTGAGCATCCGACTTTGGCTCAGGTCATGATCTCACAGTTCGTGGGTTCGAGCCCCACATCAGGCTCACTGCTGTCAGCCTGTCAGCACAGAGCCCACTTCAGATCCTCTCTCCCTCTCTCTCTATTCCTTCCCCACTTGCACTCACCCCAAGATAAATGAACATTAAAAACAAACAACAACAGGGGCGCCTGGGTGGCGCAGTCAGTTAAGCGTCCGACTTCAGCCACGTCACGATCTCGCGGTCCATGAGTTCGAGCCCCGTGTCGGGCTCTGGGCTGACAGCTCAGAGCCTGGAGCCTGTTTCGGATTCTGTGTCTCCCTCTCTCTCTGCCCCTCCCCCGTTCATGCTCTGTCTCTCTCTGTCCCAAAAATAAATAAATGTTGAAAAAAAAAAATTTAAAAAAAAAAATTAAAAAAATAAAAAATAAAAACAAACAACAACAAAAAACCACTTAGGGCTTTGTACCGTCTGTTGTACAGGCAGAGGCTGTGTCTGTCTTTTCATAACCACATCCGTAGCATAAAGCCTGTGTCTGACATAGAGTAGCAGGTCAATAAAAAAGCGGTTTAAAAAAAAAAAAGCACAGAATTCAGTGCAAATATAAAATTCCCAGGCTAAATAAACAATTTAAAGTTTCTAAATTCCTTAGGATAGGATGGGATTTGGAGTGGGGGGGCGGGGAGAGGGCTGGTGAACAGGTTCCTAGGAAGAAACCACCACTATCTGCATTTCATGCTGCATGTTTTACATACAGGCTTAGCCTTTTATGGAACTCCCCACTGGCCCTCTAGACATTTTTGTATAAATCAGAAAGAGAAGCTCCTCCCTCAGCACAGATGTAACGTTAGGCTAGGGTGCACGGAGGATTCGGCACGCAAACCACAAGTTGGTTTCCAGTTGCCACCCCCTCCCCCCATGTAGGGCGTAGCCTGCACAACCATATATGGTGGCCCTGCCTTGTACCCACAGTTAGATAGTCCCAGTCTTGGAAGAATGGCCTTGGAACAAGTACTGGAAACCAGGTCCTGGCTCCACATGACCCTGAGTAACGAATTTAACTTCTTATACAATGGATATCCATAACATCAGCCATGCCTACTGTATGGGGCTTAGAGAATCAACATTTTAAAATAGAGTGGAATCATACCTTCTACAGAGTTTATTTTCTGAAGTCAAAGGGTAAGGTAAAAATTTCAAATGACCAAATTACTCTTGAAAATTCCTTACCACCACTCAGGAAGTAAAGTCCCATGCTAGGCTGACGTGCCCCGCTGGAGACGGGCACGCAGCTCTCAATAAGCCTACCACAACCTGAAAGGAGGGAAGAGATGCTCATTCCTTGGTAGAACAATAGTTGAACTAATTGGCACACATATGTGGGCCATGTCTACCTGAAGTATAGAGTCACCCTCAGTGCAATGAGATGCTTGCAATACAAGGCCTTCAGCCTGGGAGGCAGCTGAGGGAACAGCAAGCGTCCCCCCTCCCATTGCATACCCCCTCTGGAGTATGTACCCCCTGACGGGGCTAGCAAGTGAAATCACTGACTCCATTTAAATTAAGTTCCCCTTTCTCTCCTTTCTGTGCCAAACACATATAATTTGAACAAGTTAAATGCATAGTCTAACGAAGGTTGAAAACTCTGAAGCAAAATATAAATGCAAAGCATTATTTTTGTGATACACCTACCCAATTGGTATTCTGTGTCAAGGGGAAATCCACACTGTCCCGTATGAAAGGCTCCCAGTGTGGAAAACCTTGAACTGACTCCATTAGCTCAAGGCACATGTGCAGAGGAGAAGGCCAGTGTGCTCCTGTAAGAGCTCATGCTTTGGGTTTTGTTCCCCATCAGCACAGAGCCATTCACAGTCTTCACCCCGCTCCTCTCCTGCCTAATAGCGAGGTAGGAATAAGATCTACCGGCTGAAAGAGGGAGATGGAACAAGGAGCCACATTAGCATCAAAGCTACAGGAACAACCCTCTTGGATTCATTGATGCCCTGAGGCAGTCTCTCAGATCAGCACCAGCACAGGCCACCAAACAAACAGTCCTCTCAGCTGGCTGGTCCAACACTTGCAGTACTGAAGAAAAGTCCCAGCACCTTCCAGATAAAAGCAACATGTGCCCTTTGCTTTCCAGAGCAAAATGCATCACTCTGAATGCCACCAAAATAAACACTTATCTTCATATGCTATCTGGGCCACGCGGGAAACGTTGTATTGAACCTATGACCTACCATTCAATCCTACATAAAGAACAGAATGCTTTACAAACAAAATCGTTTTTTAAAAACAAAAGCAAAGTACTATTTAACATCTCTGCAACTCTGCTATGACCACATGCCCCACGTTTCCATACTTCTAACATAGCTAATCCCCATTCAACAGGAAACCTCCTAAGAGAAAAGCAAGTTTTAAGCTGTGTATGGCTATTGATGTAAATTCTTCATTAATACACTTTGAGGAAGTATCGTAGCAAAAACAAATACATATTAACACCCCACTGTGAATATTAATACTGTCTCTGATGGAAAGCTGGGGTCATCAGGAGAAGAACTCTATTCAGAAACTGTATTTTTTTAAATGTTTTATTTATTTTTGAGAGAGAAGGAGAATGTGAGCAGAGCAAGGGCTGAGAGTGAGAGGGACAAGGATCCAAAGCAGGCTCTGTGCTGAGGTGCTGAGAGCAGAGAGCCCGACACAGGGCTTGAACTCACGAACTGTGAGATCACAACCTGAGCTGGAGTTGGGACACTCAACCCCCTCAGCCTCCCCTATTCAGAAACTCTTTTTTTTTTTAATTCCAATATAGTTAAACATACAATGTTATATTAGTTTCAGGCATACAACATAGTAACTCAACAATTCTATTACTCAGTGCTCATCAAGATAAGTGTACTCTTAATCCCCTTCACCTAATAGGGCATCTGATGGTGTTACCTACTGTGCTAGGTACTACGGAAGACAAATACAAAGAGGATCTGGCCAGAGTCACTGTCCCACGTCTTCCTTTCCCCCAAGAAGGCTTAAAGTCTACAAATGCCTTGAGCCAACAGCTCACCATACAGGAAAAACACCAACTTGGCAGAAAAAGAGATCAAGAAGTCTTAATTGGTCGGTGACAAGTTCAAATGTTCCATAAGGATCAGGGTAACTCAGCAATCCAAACCTTTTATTCAAAACAGACACAACAGCCTCAGGTAACAACACTCAGCTGATGGAGGAAAAGAAAATGCAAGACAGTAACAAAGGAACAGGACCTCTTTTACTATCCCAAGTGCATAAATAAAGGTATGGTTCAGGATGGTCTTAATACTCACTGTTCTTCTTGTACATCAAAATTTCAAAGGAGTTCATCTCATAGTTCTCAAATGTTTGTCGAACCTTTTCAATTGTGTCTTTATCAGTCAGCTCCCCATACATGAAACTGCAAATCAACCAAAAAGCTGAAGTTAGTTCCACAAATACTGACTATTGTACCATCATATGTTAAATATGTTTCCTATACCCAGCACTGTGATATGTGAAATGAACACACACACACACACACACACACACACACACACACACACACACACACAAATGGAAACATTCATTCAATCAAGAAAGCTTCACTAATTCAACTGTGACTGGCACTCTACCACTGCTCCCCAAAAATGAACAGTATAATAAGGAAGACATCCAGAAAAGTGTGGATCAGGAAACAGTATGACCAACACTTTTAGAATTACAGAATACAGGCACAGAGCAGTCAGTGAAGGCTTCCCAGGGTAGAGGCAAATGAAATCTAAAGAGCAGGTAGAAATTAATAAGAAGAGGAAGGGAAAAAGCATTCCAGGCAAAAGAAGAGCATATGCAAAGGCACAGAGGTTAAGAGTGAAGTTAATTCTGGAACCTGAATGTAGTTCAGTTCAGTGTGACTGGAATATACACAAGGTGGGGAGATTTCACAACAGGTAACATAGAAATAAAAGCACAGACCAAATCATGAAGGAGCACATGGCATTACAAGCCATGTGAAGTCATTTAAACTTTATCTTGAAAGCAATGGGGTGGAGGGAGCAAACACTGGGAGGTTTGAAGCAAGACAGTTCCATAATCAGATTTGCATTTTAGAAATACAACTCAGCGAAACTTCCCAGGAAAGATGGCAGAATAAATGTGGGCCATATATTTTTCCTCTTCTACTTCCCAACAAAATAAACAAAAGAATGGGAAAAGAATCACAGAAATTCATCAGCCAAAGAATTGCACCAAAGGGTGCAATTTGATGCTCTAAACATTAAGGCAGAGCTGAGGAAAGAAACAGAAGATTCAGCCACTGTCTGTGAAGCTCTGTTTCCTACCCACCCCACCCCAGCCCACCCCCAAAAAAGCACCAGGTTTAAAAAATTGAAATGATAAAATCCTGTAACTCTTAGTACTGCTCACATTTGGAGAAAAGTAGACTAAGGCAGGGCGGGGGTGGTGGAGATAAGTAACATGGAAGAAAATTAGAGAAAACCTCTAGATAGTAGATATTCCTACCGACTAATACTGGTTCTCAGCAGAGGCCCGAAAACTGCCAGGACTGTCCATTTTCCTGGGCCCCACCATGAATATGGTCTGAAGACCCAGATTTGTCCCTCTAGGAATAAGACACACCCCAACTAGGTGGAGTAAACCATGGCACGGGACACTAACAAAATGGAAGAGGACAAAAGCCATCTCTCAATGGGGCAGGAAAAGCCACTCCTGACCACCTCCGGCCTGCATGTGACCAGAAAAGAAGGACACCAACGCCCAGCCTCTGAATCTTGGGTAATGTGGAAGCAGTGGCGTGTGTTCCTAAACAATCCCATCTTCCAAAATTGTGCACGCGGAATGCAATCCAACTTCCTCTTGATGCCTTGAATCACAGAATCTTAGAATTTCAGAGCTACAAAGAACCTCAGAGGCAACCATCAACTCCAATGCTTCGCTTGGCCTCATACTGGAACAGCCTTGAGCTTACTGTAGGCTTCTGCTTGCCAGCACTCTATTAAAAAAAATGTGCCCTAGCTGTTGACTTTATAAGTTCTGTGTCACTTGTGTTATTATGTCCCTTCCCAGCCCACTGAGAGACATTATTATCTATGGTTCACCTTGTGCTTCTCTCATGCAGCACTCTGCTTTTCATCTATGAATCAGGAAAACAGACAACCGAGCTTGTTGAATTACCTTTAAAAAGATGGCTAGATCAAGACTAAATTAGCCCTGCCTGAGAACAAGAGGACTTCTCCTAGGAGGTAAAAACGGAGCTCTGGGACCATCTTATATAGCCAGTTGCCTTTTTTAGCTTTCTCTGAGTTAATTTGCTAGATAAGTGACCCCCATTTATGTGACATGATGGTATACATGCTGGCAGTTTCCTTCACAAGGTAAAATGAATCCCTGTAAAATGGAGACTTGAAATAAGTGAAGTGCCATAATTACTCCCAGCTTCCATCAGTCTTATGTACTGTAATATAACGGTAGCCATAAGTTTCCTTTACCTGGACATTAGATTTCATACGCCTACAATGCAAGAAATAAGCAAAAGAGGTTCCTGAGCCATTAGGAATATAGTGAGCACAAAGGCATGTTTACTTTATTGTTAGGGAGGGGACACTTTCAGAGAATTAAATACGTTTCCTACAGTTGTGCATAAAAAATTTGGCTAACTTAAGTGTCTGATTATAGCCAATAAGAAGCAAGAAAGGGAAGGAAACGTTGCTTCAGTCACACCAAAAAGTGAAGCTAACTCTCCCGATTTGCTTCTATTGTATATGTGTATATACCGATGTAGACGCAGATATGGATGTAGATGCTTATGAGGAGAACCACAAATATAACAGAATTTTATTGCAGTATTTAAGAGTCATAATTTCCAAATCTTTGAGGGAAGAAGGGGAATCTTACATTTCCCATTTCCCAGACCCAAAACACCTAACATATAAGAAAATGGTATTTTCAAAGCATTTAATACTTTTCACCAAACTAGTTACATGGCTGATTTAATACCATCAAAATACAAACCAAAGACTATGCCTGTGTCAGACAGGTTTTGCCACCCTTCAGAGAGGAGTTGCTTTCTTGATCTGGCAGGTCTGGGAAAACGATTCCACTGAATGCAACCACTGAAGACAGAAGACTCCGAAGAAGGCAAGGAGTGAGAGAAGCCCAAGGCTGTGCTGAGCCAAGACCTTGCCAGGGCAGTGCAGGGGGGCGTCTGGCACGGCCAGGGACAGGCTCTACTCTGCTTGCTCTGCTTGCTCTGCTCTCCTCCACACCGTGAAGGTGCTTTAAAAGAGTGTTTCTAGCACCACAGCTCAAGGGTACAGCCTGGTTAGTAACCCGGTCAAATGCATAGGCTATGTGCACTGTTAGCATCATTTGCCTCTGTCTTTGAGGTTATGACCAGAGATGTGACAGAATGATTCAGAAGGCAACAAAATCCTAGCTTTCTTCTCCTTTTCTGGTGAAAAGCCCTATGAACAAAGTCCTTGTTTCCAACATCATAGTGATTCTTCTCAAATAGTCATGTATTTTTTTTTTAATTAATTTCATCATTGGGGTGTGTGGGTGGCTCAATCAGCTAAGTGTCTGACCCTTGGTTTCAGCCCAGGTCATGATCTCACAATTCATGCTGACAGCACAGAGCTTGCTTGAGATTCTCTCAATCTATCTATCTCTCTCTCTCTCTCTAAATGAATAAATCTTAAAAAATTAATTTACTCATCTAAAATTTTATTTCATTTTCATTTAATTTTATTTAATCATCTAACTTTCATATCATGTAGCATCTCACAAACTTTTGAATTCCTGTTTTATAAAGAAAATGACTTTCCTGAGTTTTTCTAGCACCCCTCCCCCACATCTCAGTGACTTCAAGTCCCTCATTTTGTACAGACCATGCTTTAAGGCTTCTTGGATTTCCCAGCATATTGTGTGAACTAGAGGTAATTTACCATAAACATTCCCGTATAAACATTAAATGAGAGAAAGGCAAATCCCACACCAAGTAAGCCATTTTTATTTTTCCAGAAAATACCAGGATAGACTGGTCAACAGAACAACCCCAAACATAAATACCTGCAGGTACTGCTTTTTTGCATCACTTCCGCCCTGTGATAGCCAGACAGCTTGCAAAATCCATCATTGCTGTACACGATAGGCCAGTCCACTATCTGGGCATTCCCCAACACAAAATTAGTATCTGTTAAGAAAAAAAAAAAGAAGGAGAAAAGAAAAGAAAAGAAAAGGGCATATGAGGCAAGACATTAGTTGAGATTCAATGAGGGTATACATAATGTCAACCAATCCAGGTATCTTTGCTTCCCTCTAAAACAGTCTCTTCGACAGGAAAATGGCCCTGTGCAGAATACAAAAGAACAGTCCTTTAGAGCTGAATATTTGGAATCCAAATGCTAAGGTTATTATACTCCAAGAAGAAGTTAGCCAAGGAAGCATACTTAACCAACCAACCGATGAATCTTGCAGAGATCCAGTGATTCCCAGGAGATACATTCAAGTTCTAACTAATCTCAATGAATGTACACTGGTACTATGAAGCAAGAGAGAACATAAAAGGAATTTCTTCTGGGCTCCATCTAGCATCTTAGCCTTATTAGTCTTTTGGCCAAAAGCTACACATTGGCCTTGTTGACCCTGAGTAGCATTTACCCATCCTAAGAGGAGGCAGTCTTCTTAGGAGGCAGAGGAAGAGAGACAGAGGACTGCCTCAAGAAACACACCAGATAGCCCTCCTCTTGGTAAGGAAGTGACTAGACAACCCCCCCCCCCAATACTAGAGCCTTGCAGAACCTGATCAAGAGGCTCGTGATGGCAAAAGGTTTCTTGCTGATTTTGAGATTTTTGTAGCAGCAGACGCCACGTGTCAGAGCTCTTTCACTGACCACCAGCCCACATTCGCTTCAGATGCAGGGATGAAGTCAGCAGGTATGGCTGCTCAGTGGGTTCTCATCACTTCCCACATTTCTGAAAATCAAAAGCCTTCAGTATTTTCTGTGCTCTATCAACTGTCCCTTTTTTTCTCTTCAAGACCTTAAATTAAGCAAATAACATCCAGAATTTAAATATAATCATTTTTAGCTTGGCTCTCTCCTCTCCACAGAATACTTACCCCTTCCTCAAGAAAAGAAAGAACACACACAAACCCTTCTTTATTGTAAACTGATGGGGGTTTGTTTGTGTATGTGTACTGGATAGAGTGAAACAGTAGTGACATATAATGTCTTCATTTAATTGGGAGGTTAATTTTGTTCTAGTACAGCATTTATTATTTATTCACAACATGGGTAACCATCCTTCCTATATGTGGGGAGGAGTGGAGGAATGAAAGGGAGGAGAAATAACTAAATACAGTAATCTACTTTTGAGAATGTTTTCATCTATTTAAAAGGAACATAAAACACAACTTTCATGAAGTTAATCTATAAACCTGTTGAATTTATAAATAAGCTTTTATTGAAAATATACAACCAGTCTTTCCCTCTGTCTTTCCCATATAGTCATGAATACTTGTTGAGTGCCCACTAGGTACCAACCACCTTATAAGACCCTGGAGATATCCAGCCTGATGAGATATGGTCCATGCACTCCAGGAACTTATCAGGACAAGAAGATGTGCACAACCAACTGAAGAAAGCAGTAACAAACTGATTAACTCCAAGGTAGGCAAAGAATTGTGTCTCAGAGGGGTCATATATGAACTTGTTCTAGTCTGGAAAGATGAGTAAGACTCATTCAAACATTGTGAATGCCTAACATGTATGATACAAAAACAATATTTAGAGAAACAAAAATATGATGCCTGCCTTTGGTAAGGCTGTGGGAGGAAGGGAACATTCCAGACTGAGAAGCAACATGAGCAAAGGCCTGACAGCATGGAACACATAAAGACAGGTGTAGACAGACAAAGGTCAGTCAGGAAGATTGGAGAATGAGCCCAAATACCAGACTGGGATGGGTCTTGACTGTCAAAGATTTTCGACTTTGTTCTAGAGACAGAATAACTCTTTATATGTTGGTCTTTTCTTCCTGAATAATTCACATTTCTTGAAAAGAACTAAGCCTTTAAAAAAAGCACAACATTCACTAAATCACCCCTGAGTGTATATGAAGTCCAGTCAGTTTAACTATCTCTCTTGTTGAGTAAAATTGTCAGTAATTTCCTTCAAAGACTTAGAGCAGTTGAAGAAAACTGAGTGAGCTTTTTCATGGCTAGTGCCCCACTAAAGCTATGTGTTAAGAGGGAATAAGAGCCAGTTATAGATAATAATTGACTGCTTGTGTTTATTTTCTCTCCTCTCTAGGCACCATTAAAATAAAATTAAATGAATTAAAAAGGTACAAATCCACAAAAATTAGAGGAAAAGAAAACAGAAAAAAATGACTATGGAAGAAGCAGAAATAATACAGGAAACAAAAAGAACTTTTTTTAAAAAAAAGATCCCCAGTTAGCATCCTTAGAGAGACTCAAGAGATATTACATCCATAAAACAAAATAAAAAAAGAAAAAAAAAATAAGAGAACATGTAAGACCTCCTGTAAATTAAAAGTGAGTAATTAAAAATTCAATGTAAATGTTAGAAGATAAAGTCTTGCAGAGAG